CAAAACCTCTGTGTCTGCGTCCTGAAGTCACCCCTTGCTCAGTTGGACTTCTCTAAAATCAAGGGAGAATACTAAATATCTGTTTAACAGAGAGGCTTGGCTCTCTCTGAGGCAGCCTATTCCTGGCATGACCCTCCTCTCTGCAGACAGTTCTCATGGACAGGAGTCCTGTTGACCTTGTCATTTTGTCTCCCAGGCAACGGAACAGTTTCAGTCATCTGTACCTTGATTGTTTGATGGCTCTTTTCTCTTCTCATTGACTTTACTGAAGTAGAAGGCTAAATATAGGCACTGGTTCTCATATCTTCCAGGTCTTTCCATGCACACAGACTTGTTATCACTAACAAACAGTGCTTACAAGACAGACACTGAAGAGCAGAAGAATGGAAATGAAGGTTGGAGTGGTGCTAAAAACAGAGAGAGTCTTTGAGAGTTTTCCACTTAAAAAGATCAAATGCAGAAGACAAACAGTATATTTTAATAATCAAGGACACAAGCATAGCCTTAAGAAAATTAGAGAACTAAAACACAGACTCTGGGGAAGAAGCAATGGGAATGTGACTCTGTGGCAGTACAAGCACTCTGACAAATTTACTAAACAGATAAATGATCATCCTTTAATTTGAGCGTTGCAAATGCCGGTGGCTACAAGGACCCTAGAGTAGAAATGGATAAGAGGCTCATTTGGGCAGTGATGACCTCAAGCACAGGGACTCAAGGGGAGAACTGCTGCAAAATTATTGCTGATGATTGGCCACTAGGAACACAGACCTAGCATTACAACATCTTTTGCTTATTCACAAAAAGAGATCAGGACCTAGCCTAAAGACAGGAAAACACTAAGTTCTTTCTTTCTTTTTTTCTCTCTATTTTGGGGTGTGCGTGTGCACACCTGTGTGCAAGTGTGTGTTACTGGGGATTGAAAACAGGGGCTAACCCTTTGTTTTGAGGCAGGGTCTTGCTAAATTGCCAGACTGACCTTGAACTTGGGGTCCTCCTGCCTCAGTCCCCAGCATTGCTGGGATTAAAGGCAGGTGCCATAACACTGGGCTCTTCCCTATATATTTAATGCACTGGCTTCCCTCCTCTAGTCTTAGGGGCAGTCCTAGGGCAAGTAATGAGTATACTTGTTTTACTTGTATAGTTGAAGGACCACCCCCACATTCAAAAACTAAAGATGCTTTTATAAGTATTAAGTATGGCCCAAAGAATTAGAATTTTGAGTATCTTTTTTGGGGGATAGGAAATGAGGATGCAGAAGACCATCCTTGAATGAGGCTCACAACTTTCTCTGTTAGTTTTGTTATGAGATTTGACACTGTAGATATKGACAAATACCAGATATGAGGTGATAGTAAATATTCAACTGGACTGAAACAAATGTATTTCAAGTATTAATTAGCCCTGTAAGAGATTATTAATTCATAAGGAATTATTGGCACCAAAACAAAGGGTCAGCTTAGTGATAGAGTGCCCCTGTCCTGAAAAGTTATTGGTCCTGAAAAAGAAATGGAACTATTGGTCATGGTCAACCAACATTCTTTAAGGATCTGCTCTGAAGGCTTTGTGGAAATATTGTGAAAATTAGAAGTTTGAATAAGATRCTATTCCTGAAGCCTACTGGTCTACAGAGGAGATAAAACATATTTGTACACAATGATTCAAAGTACATAGCAACAAGTTGCAGGGTAATTTATTATAAGCACAAAATTGTACATTGCTATTGTATGTGACAACCTAGGTTATAATCTAGAGCTTTAAATAGTTTTAATTATTAGTGATATTAGGACAGAATTTGAACACTTGTAGAAACCCTGAATTAGAAATTTGTAAAAAATTCTCTAGTTTTAGGTGGACACAATATCTTTATTTTTATTTATATGTGGTGCTGAGGATCGAACCCTGTGCTTCGAGCAGCCAGGCAAGCACTCTACCACTGAGCCACGATCCTGGCCCCCCCGAATTAATAATTTTAATAATAAATATTGAGTATTGAATCCACTGTGTTACTGAGCAAATATTTTATGGGATTACTTTATCAATTCTTATAATCACTTCATTAATAAGTACTAATGTTCACTCTTGAATTGCTGTAGAAAATTATGCTTATAAATACAGTCATTTGCATTAAATCTGATAGTGGATGCAGGACCTGAATTCGGTGCTGTTTCATAGTGGAATCGAAATTTTAAATTATGCTTATAAAGGTTTCCTGGACAAAAGGAAAAAGGAAAAAGGGAGAACAAGTTTTCTTGTAGGCAAGTAGGAAATTATTAATTTATAAGTATAATGAAAAAAGTTTCTTATCTGGATTTAGTTAATACTCATGAAATACGTTATATTTAGTAGCATTTTATGATACAACCTAAACTTTCACGCTGGCTGTGAAATTGACATCTTTATTATTATTTTTTTTTTCTGAAATGTAATGTCATCGAGACGCAAGTAAAATATAAACTTGTAAGCCATACCAGCTTACTGAGATGTCTTAGAGGAAATCCAAGTGTAGAAAATATGGCATTGCTCAGTTAGGATTTAACAAAGTCTATTAGTATATCCCAGTGATTATACGATAAATACAAACTCAGTAATCAAGGTGAATTTAGGATTATTAACTGTATGTTTTCTTACTGTGAATTATCAATTGATCTACAGATGGAAAATCTGAGATTTGTAGTRTAATTTGGTTTAAAAAATGTGCCTCAGGCCATAGTTAGAATTATAGAAGTTTACAATTACATTTTAGAAAGGTTCTAACTCTTATTTCAAGATACACAAAATAAAGCCAGATGTAGAATAATATTCAGAAAAAAATAAATAGCTGTCATAAATTATGAAGTTGAATTGGAGCACAAATTGGACTTGGAGTCTTAGAACATTTACTTCTTTTCAATCTAGGTTTCTTAGATCATAATTTAGTTGTTTTCTAAGGAAGGTCAAGGAAGTTATTTAGGGCATCAACTCAAATATGTGTCAGTATGTCTTCAGCTACAAATTACAAAAACCCTGATTTCATTTAAACTTCACTGGATATGTGAGTCAGCTTTCCATTACTGTAGCAAATACCTGAGATAGTCACCTTGTAAAGAGAAAAGACTTTTGACTCACATTACWGGAGCCTTCAATCCTTGATTAGTTGGCCCTTTTGGTTTTAGTCCTGTGGTATGGCAGTGCATGATGGTGGGAGCATGTGGCACAGCGAAACTGCTCACCTCATGGCCAGGGGAAGAAAGAGAGAGRCAGAAAGGACCAGGGTCTCATGATCCCCTTTTGTGGCATGCCCCCAATGACTTAAAGATCTTCTACCAGGCCATTCCTTTAAGCCATCTGTCCCTCCCAATGACACCAAGCTGGGTCTAAGCTTTATCACTAGGCTTTGAGGGACACTTAAAATCCAAATTATAGCAAAGGGTTTAAACATAAAGAATTTATTAGCTCATATACAAGGAAGTTCAAAGGTATGGGCCACTTGAGGTCTAACACTTGAGGACTCATTGAAGCCTTGTCTTTCCTGGTTCTTTCTCACCTTCATTCTGAGAGGCTATCACCTATACTCAGGTGTGCGAGACAGCTACAACAGTTTCAGGAGACATGTTCTTTCACGACAATGTCAGTGAAGAAAAGTGGCCATCTCTTCCTTTTTTTTTTTTTTTTTTTCTCTTCTTAAGACGGATATATCTTTCCCAGGAGTTCCCTACCCCACCCAGAGGCAGGGAATTCCTTATATTTAATCAGCCAAAATTCAACCATGTATCATTACAAAACCAAACACTGGAAAAGGAAATGAGGCCACTTATAATCTACTTAGGATATCAGAATCATCTTCTTGGAATGGGGTTTGACTTAGGCTTCTCGGAAGTACATGGCTTTACTTAGGGGGAGACACTAGAATGGAGCTGGAGTTTTGTTAGAAAAAAGAAAGAAGAATGCCTTTAAGGGAACATTCTTGGCTTCCTTGGTGGTTACTGCTCGCCTCATGGGGACTGGGAAGCAAAACAATTAGGAAAGAGAGGGGAGTCCCAGAGTCTCCTGCCAGGGTCATGCCATTGACATAAGACCTCGYTCTAAGTCCTCCTCTTAAAGGTTTCTTTCAACTTCCAATTGTTCCAAACTGAGGAGCAAGCTTTTAACATGTGGGACTTTAGGAGATATTTAAGATCCAAACTATAGCARTCCCCAACACTGGTTCTTATCCTCCTCATAATTACAGTTTCATAGAAATCCAAGATGGGAGGGCACCATTTTAAGATCCATATATTGTCAAACATCTTCCTTAAAGTTACACAATAAGTCAGAACAGTTTCCTGGCTCTCTATGCAGGGTGTTTTCTTTCAATATTTGCTCTTGAGACTTTCAAAAAGTAGGGTCTGCTTTAAAACTGAGGGCAATCATTGTCCACTTGTGTAATCCATAGCTCCTTATATTTGTTTTTTGGTTTAACCAGCTAGAAACTCAGTGGGGGTCTGTGCTCTAAAACATGCACTGAAGTCTTTACTCTCTGTTTTGATATCATGTGCCTTAATCACCAATAGGTTCCTTCTCACCTTACATTCATCTTACTTTCAACATTTCTGCTCCATTTTTTCACCTTCCTCATCTTTTCTTGTTCTATGATCAACTTCCTGTTTCTAAATCRACTCTGTGGTTGCTTTTCCCTCTTTGTGCCAGGTCCTAGCTGCTAGTTAYTTAGGCTGTGGTCTCTCTTGTTCTTCCTACAGCCTACTCAGTTGTGACTGTTATTCATATTCGCACTGTTATATATCCCTGAATTGGGTTATGGGATTATTTTGGTAACTACTGTCTTGGGTGACATTCAAATTAATAATCAGAGTATTGAGATAACTTTTCCTATTACAAGTTTCCTCCTGTTTTCACAATCCAAGAGGAGCTACTTCTTTTACTCTTATTACATACAATGAACAAATAACATGTGATTTATGGCCTGCCCTGAGTCTGAATGCTTGCAATTTACTTTTTGTTTTTCTCGTGTCTAGGACAAGATGTTGATAAATATAAAAAGCATCTTATGGATGTGCTCAACTTTAATAGTAACCCATGCAATGCATAAAGGTGAGTAGTGAAAATTTCTTTATTACTAACTAAAGTAAAAATTTAAATACCAGTGGGTGGAATGACAGTATGGAATCACTAGAAAAAGTATTTCTTTTTTTTTTTTGTAAAAAAATTATAATCTATTTAGTGCCCCAAACTTTTGGTTAAAATTGTATTAGGYTGTAAACAGTGATTTTAAATAAATCAAAATGAAATAATGAGCAGGTTGCTAACTATCCAGAYTCTTCTTGAACTGTGCAAAAAGTCTCATATGGCATTGGACATATTTTGAAATTCTAACTTCTTCAGAACTGCTTCTCAGAGACTTTTCTATACGAGAAAAGTAAACAAACAAACAAAAAGATTACCTGGAGTTGTGGTGCACACCTGTAGTCCTAGCTACTGGAGAAGCAGAGACAGGAGGATCCCTAGTTTGAGGCCAATCAGGGAAAAGATTAAAAAAGGCTGGGGGCACTGGGGTTGTGGCTTATCAGTAGAGCACTGGCCTAGCACATGCAAGTCCCTGAGTTTGATCCTCAGCACCACATAAAAATAAATAAATAAAATAAAGTGTCCAACTACAACTAAAAATAAATATTAAAAAAATAAAGGCTGGGGGTGTGGTTCAGTGATAGAGAACCCCTGGGTTAAATCCCTATAATACACACACACACACACACACACACACACACACACACACCAGATTTTTAAAAACTTAAGAGGCTAAAGTTTGAAAAAAGTCAAGAAGATAAAGAGAAGTTTGACAACAAGGATTTGTCCCTACCTTCCCCCTTTTGTTTCTTTTTAAAAGGGTAACTGGGCAAGTGCATATGCACTGTTTTTCTTAGCTTAAAATTCTATATCCACATGGTTAGGGGTCCATRATCCCAAGTTCATTATTCAAAGGACATACCAAAGAATTTGAAGAAAAGACTTTCCTGCACTTCACTGACCTTCTGTCTCTGTACACTTCACACCTAACTTCCATTTCTTCTTCATGCTCCTTGCTTCAGACTTTGTAAACTAATTTGCACATGCACATACTTTTATCTTTCCTAGTTTTCCACATGTAATTCCTTTTGCTTGCTACTCCTCCTGTTTTCCACAGCTCTGCTTTAATTTATTCTTCAGTACTCAAGGTTTGAGTGTTACTCCCTCTATCATCCATGCATCCATCCCTGTGTCCATCCATTGATTCTCTCACCCACCCACTCATTTATTTACCTATGTGCAATATCTTTTTAGTACTTTTAATTTGGAAATATTATTCGGGGTGTCTGGGGATATACCAGCAGAGAAATAATACATTGTCCTAACTTCTATTAAGCTTAATCCCCTAGGAAACAGGCAATAAGAAAATAAACTATATAAGTTTTTTTTTACATTTTTGTGATTGATGAAAATAGACTGAAATCATAGAGAAAGGTTTGGGTTGGGGAGAGTATTCTTTTTGAGAAAGTATCATTAAAGCTGAAATGAGAATGTTAAGGAGTAGCCAGCCATCAAGATCTGGCCCTAAGTAAGGAAGATATGTAATGTGTTTAAACAACAGAAAGGTTACTGTAGTTGGAAAACAGTGATTAAGAGCAAGGTAGGGAATATAGACAGAAATAAACAGAGGACCAGCTCTTATAAATAATAACATCTAGACTAGAATTCCCTATGAATGAGGAACTGCTTTAGGTGCTTAATACTAATTCATTGAAACATTTATTATTAATGTATGATATACAGAAAACCAAGGGCTAAGTAACTTGTTCAAAGCCCCACACCCATTGAGTAGCTGAGCAAGGGGRAGAACCAAGGTAGTCTCAGCAGTGCATGTTCTTCTCCTCTGTTAGGCTTTGTATAGAGGGCATTGCAAGCTCTAGAGAAGATGTGATTTTATTCCAAGAGCAATGAGTCTCTGAAGAGTGTCTTTAGCCATGAAGACATGAGTTCATAAATGTTTTTAAAATCTCATTTTTGCTGCTTCATGAATATTTGGCTAAAAAGAGCAAGAGTGGCAGCAGGAAAATTATTTAGGGGGTTATTTTGGTAGCTGGTACATGAAATAGGGTAGCTTGTGTCAGGTGGTAGCCAACACCAATGGAGAGATGTGATTTGGGTGGGTAAAGAGGTAAAGTGATGCTAAGTTGGACTCAGACCCACCAATAGAAGATGGAGTCTGGTGAGGGAGGAGAAGAATCTAGAATGCGCTGAATCCTGGCATTATTTCCCTTCTTTCCCTTTCCTGTTTTTCTGTCCCCCTTTCAGGCCAACATACAAGCCTTCCTCCATCTATGTGTTTCCTTTGTACCCTGTGATATCACAACTGTCACAACACATGCCACTCTGTTATTATAAGCTGTTTGAAGTAGACTATAAGCTGCAAAAGGGCTGTCATTTATCTTCTAGCAGAGRACCTGCTGCACTACCAGCACCGAAACATTTAATGTGTTGACTGAGTGAGTGAGGGAATGAATGAATGAATGCCACCATGAAGGGCTCAGGCAATGAACTATCAGAGTCTAGGTTCCCCAATCTGTTAACAGTCCAAGAGTTCAAGAGCTGTCCTTTTAAAAGGCTTCAGGAAATGAAGGCGAAGGGCAACAGAGAGGAAAGGGCAACAGCATCCAGTGAAGAGAGGGTATATCGCAAGGGGTCTGGAAAGGGGTGGCCAGTAATGGAGGGGAAACTATAGAGGAAGTAGTAGGCAAACCTCCCACCACTTAAGTTTAGACTTACAGAAAGAACTGACACAATTAAAAGCAAAATAAAACAACATACAGTGTAGCTCTTTCATAGTATTAAAAAATAGTAATAATCAACAATATTGAGTGATTTGTACATATCAGGCCCTGAACTTTGTAAACACATGATCACTATTGGAATGTAATTATTTTGAGGCTGTCTTCAGGGAATTTAATTTCTTCTTCTGAGAGGCAAAAAATTAAAAACTACAAGATATACAATATTACGGCAGTAATTTATTGAGTTGATACAAGCATGTTCTTTTGTCCTAAGGCTTTCTCTGTTTATTTCTCAGGTACTTAAGAGGTCTGGGGCAAACATTAATGAGCACCTTGTCTACTAGTTATTAGCTTTATTTTAACACACAAAGAGCTCTTTGCCATAGCAATATATATCATATTAGATTATAAATTGTAGTGATCATTGATTATCTAGCATTGACCTAGTTATGGTAATATTTCTGTAATAATAAGAAATGGAGACATGTGCACAGTCAAGAGCAAATGAGTGAGCTAGAACATAATGATGTTTATTGAGAATGATAAATTTCCATAGTCTCTACCTGACATTTATTTGGCTCAGGTCTCTCTGTGTGTAGTTGATCCAATTGTGCAGATGGAATTTACATAATCCTTACTCTGCAGAATCTACTGACAGAATGAGGGGTAATTGATAATTCATTACTTAGAGCTTTCTCTCTTACTGTACTCATTCAGGCCACAAACCATCTGGTGTGGTGGGAACAGTGAAAGTTTCTGTTAAGATTCATTTTTATTTCTTGCATTGTCAGTTTCAGACAAATCCCTGAAGGTTGCACATTAAAAAAAAAAAAGATTGCATAGTCTATACAGAGTGCATGCAGAACTACTAAATTTGCTTCTTAAAATATTTAGATTTTGTAAGCTTAGGTCTTGTGACCAGTGAATTAAGACCCAAGATTTAATACACAAAATATTTGACCACACTGCTTTTTGTTAATTTTATCATTAAGATTGGGTTCTACATGACTATGTGTTTATATCTGACCAAAGCTTTTAATTTTCTTATGTCTATAAACATCCTATCTAAGCTGGATAGACCAGCTGATTCTCATGTCTGCCCTATGCACCAAAGTTGTGAAAAGAATCATAATTTATTAATAAATACTAAGAAATTAGAAGTCAATTATCCAAGACTATTTTCTAAGGACATAGATGAAAAAGAATTTCACAATTTATGCCATGATTAAAGTTCATGGTAAAGCCTATTTATTTTTTCACTTAAAAGCAATATTTAATTAAAAACAGTATTTTATTTGTGGAAACTTACTATATTTTATTTGAAGTGAATAATTGATTTTCAGGAAGAAAGATAAGTTTTCCTAGAACATCTGCTGAGTGTACATTAGGAGAATTTCAAGTTACAGAATTCTCACCCCTCCTCTTCTTAGAATYCTATTGTTGACAAAAAAAAGAGATATCTTTGTTTTTCATCATCTTCCTAATTGAGTTCAAATTAAAGGAATATGAACCAGGTAGAAGTTACTCTTAGGATGTCTTCTGTGGACTTCATCGATTTGTTTAAAAGGTCATTAAATTTCCAAAAGATTTTGGTTTGCATAATAAAAAGTATAGAAGTAGGGTGAGTTTGGATACAGAACAGTAACTAAAATGAAAACTTACATGATTTAATCTAGAGTCAGGGGAAGAAACCAATGAATACCCAAACTAAGTCTTCTCCATTAGGTATAAAGAGAGCTGTGTTCTGGCTCTGATCTGGTTTCARTCAGTTTGAAGCTTGTCACTTACTCTTAGTGGGCATCCTTAGTAAGGGATTGGAGCAGTTCTACTCTAAGGGTGAGCTTTATATCAGAAAATTTATTTTCTAAGTCAAGAAAATCATTAAAAATGGAACCTTGCTATTGCATTACAAAAGCAACATTTCACTTTTTTTTAATTGGTGCATTATAGTTGTACATAATGGTGGGTTTGGTCGTAACATACTCATATATGCACACAATATAGCAATATAATTTGGCCACTATCATTCCCCAGCATCATAATAACATTTTAAAGAGTAACTTACTGTTGCTAATAGCACATTGTGTTTTATTTTTAAATGATCTTTTTAAGTGCTTTAGTTCTGTTTGGAAAAGCTGCACATAGATTAATAAAATGATTAAAAATGTGTGGTAGCAATGACCATTATAAATTTGAGATAGATAGGGAATTTTTATAAGAAATACACTAAATCCAATAATGTATCATTTTAGATTTATTTGTATCATATAAAAGGTTTCATAGATCAATGTTTTTAAAGTGAAATTCTAATCTTTAGCAAAAGAGACCAATTTTTTTGGAGGATATATTATCTACATAGTATCTTCCAGGAATTTTCAAAATGAGTTATTCCCAACTGAATGTGCAGGGTTAACTGACAGCTGTATCACTTCTGATGTGCGTCCACACTGAGCTATGTGTCATGCATACCTTTGACCACAGTACTAGATACATATCATTTTGCTAATATGAAATAGATGAAAAAGAGTCTCATAATTTATGCCATGATTAAAGTTCATTATTTTTCTTCACCTGGAAGCTACTATTAGCTTGTTGAAGTGGGCATTGTTTGTGCGTCAAGGACCATTTCTATTATTACCCACACATTCTAACTTAATTAACAGAGGTTAGAAGATGGGAGGAGAGCAGGAAAGAGCAGAATGAATTCCGGTAAGAGTGAAAGGACATTTCATTTTGCACGCAATGGTGTTAAATTGTAGTCAGTGTATTCTTTGTCATTAAAAGTTTAAAGACTTAAACAGAAAAATATTTTAGGAGGGTTAGGTGAACAGAGGCCAGCTTTCTCACAGGACATAATGAGAGGTCACTCAATCACTACAAAGTGATTGCAGGTGGATTTGCCATTGTAATGAAAGACTTTGGTTCAAATAGCGGACCAAAGAGAGCCCTTTAAATGTTAAATTCCCCTTTCGCCAGTCCTGTGAAGTGCTTTAGAAAAAAAAAAAAATTCTCACTTCCTCCTTCGATTTTCATTTCCTCTAAGGTATTGTGGCAGTTATCTTAAACTTTTTTTTTGTTGTTGTTGTTGTTTTCTGACCTCTGAACATAATTTTCACCTTTCAATGAGTTTTCCTAACAAGGGTCTAGTCTGTTTAGCCTTCAGGATAGATTCTAGGGACTCTGGTCCACCCCCTCCTTTCTTAATTGTTTGCTGAAATTTTTTCTTTCTTTCTCTCCCCAGCTTTTTTTATTTTCCCTTCCCACCTCCCTTCCCCTCTTTTCTTCCTTCTGTGGTGCTGGGGATGTAACCCAGGGCCTCATGCTTGCTAGTACCAACTCTAGCAATGAGCTACACACCCACAGCCTTATTGCTTGCTTTCCCCCACTTATTTTATCACTTTTTTTCATGTTAAATGCTAATTTACAAATACTTTAAAATGACCTCTACATTTCAGTACATTAAAATGAACTTCATTAACCTCTGTCTTTGTTACAGAACATTATTTCAATTGTATGTATCTCCTTTATATAAAAATCATCTAATTAGCTCACATATTGAAGATGTAACCGCTGTAAGGGGTTCTTATCCCTTCATATATTTAATAGATTTCATTTGTGATTTTCAGGACTGTTAATGCCATATTTTCTTTTTCCTTTAGTCAAAATGGAAAAAAGCCCACCTGTTAAGGGCTCTCTGTCTGGAAAAGTCAGCCTACCTTGTCATTTTTCAACCATGCCTACCTTACCACCCAATTATAACACCAGTGAATTTCTCCGAATCAAATGGTCTAAGATTGAAGTGGACAAAAATGGAAAAGATTTAAAGGAGACTACAGTTCTTGTAGCCCAAAATGGGAATATCAAGCTTGGTCAGGGCTACAAAGGTAGAGTGTCTGTGCCTACCCATCCGGAGGCCGTGGGCGACGCCTCCCTCACCATGGTCAAACTGCGTGCTAGCGATGCGGGCCTCTACCGCTGCGATGTCATGTATGGAATTGAAGACACCCAAGACACAGTGTCTCTGACTGTGGATGGTAAGGCTTAGTGAATCATCCGAGGGTGTATATAGCATGATAGCTGGTTTGGAGGTGGTGTGAGCCGGTATGCAAAAACAAATGGTTGCTTGATGTCTGGAAAATACATCCATCAACACAGTAGTCCAGTTTTCAGAATAAAGTGCTTTTCATTAAGAAGTCAAGGCAGGTGACTTGTGCAGCAACTTCACTGTTATGTAATATAGAACACTGGAAATAATGAATACCTCAAGACCTGACACATAGTCAATTATCATCACTTTGATGTTGAGACCTATCGATGATTACTTTACAAGACTATAGAAGCTGATACATTTTATTTAACTATTTGTGTATTTGTATATGCACCTATACATACATTCACAAAATTTTTCCTTTTCTCATTTTCTTAGTGTGATCATTCAAATCCTTGAGTTTGATTTTGAGAAATATAAATTTTATCTTAACTTACATTGAAGAAATAAGATATTTAGTAAGTACCATGGTATATATCATGATGTCTTAAAAAGGCCAAGACTCAATAAATATTTGAATTGGATCAAAATAAGAAATCAGTGAAAATTTATTAAGGTTAATGCAGCAGTTGTTATCCAAAGAGACATTTTAGTCTTACCTTCCTTCTAGTGAAGTTTATATGTCACTTGAATTTAAGATAGGAGACAAAGCAAAGAAAAATTGCTCTAATTGGGCACACACATAATGGCATAGCTCTTGAAAGCAGACTGTTTGGCACGTTATTAAGCAAAATTCTAATACCTAGACATGACGGAACATATTTTCTTCCAACCCTCCATTTCCCTATAAAATATTTACCTTTCAGAAATATATACAAAGGATTTTACTAAAACTCTTTCTTGTTTAGCCAAAAGGAAATACTTCGAATTCCCAGATGCAAAAGACTAACTTACTGAGCATCCTTTAACGTTTCCGTTCTGTAAATGCATTTTTGTATCACCCAGCTACCCACTAACTATCCTTTGCTCTTCTAAACTTTCCATCATTTATTTTAGTTAACCTAAGTTTGYACCACTCTTCTTATATATGTGCATCTATCACTTTTTAATTTCCCCAAAGGGATTTAACTACTTCTTACAATTTTTCATCATTAAAGAATTAGCAATGGATTTGCCCCTTGCCCCTCTGAAACAATGAAAATCCTCCACTTAATCCCCTTAGCCCCATGGGGTCTTCAAATTATTCCAACAATTGCAGATACTTGCATAGATCCATACTTACATAGACCCTGCCTTGGTTGAGAAGCCCCTCTTTCCCCCCTTTACCACCAATCTTCAGTACACGTGGAAGATTTTTAATTACCAAGAAAATTATTTGAAGCACTGATGAYTATAAAACTAATTTAAAACCACTTAAATTCTTGCTTAGGCCTTGCTGAGCATTTTAAGCTATCTCTCATACTTACCAGATTGTATCTTACATACTTCCTGACAATTTTCGAGAGGTCTATAAAGGTACAAATTGGCATTTGGTGATTTTTTTTTTTTTGAGTCATGAAAGATTAGATACAGGAAAATGAATATTAGAGCATCTACTTGGTGTCTATTCAAGTCTTTTTATATTGACATTGATCATAGGGGCTGATCTATGAGACGGCTAGTGTGTTCCACTGTAGGTACTTTATTGGCATATACTTTCCTGGAAGAGGGAGACCATCTAAGGACAGGCATGTAGGAGAGTCTCACAGCTGGAAGTCAGGTTGTGGAAGAGGGACTGCTGTCAACCCCAGGAAATTGGTGGGAATAAGAGGAGGGTGGCTGATCTCATGGAAACAATTCATTCCAAACAACAAAAAGTGGTTTTAAATGACATGACTCAATAAATTTCACTCATAACACCCAGTTGCCCCAATTTTCGTTTTCCTGTGACTTCCCTGGCATATTAATTTGACTCAATGTGATGTCTTTTAGAAATGAGTCATTATATTTACTCCAGTTAAAAATGGAAATGCTCTTGTTGAGATGGCGAGAGAAGGCCCATAATCCCACCCCCTCAGTTGTTCTTTCCTTACCCCTTGGACAGTTCTGTTAATCTTGCAGCAAGGTTCAAAACCACTGGTTTAGGCAAACCCAAAAATACCAAAAAAGTGAAATTTGAGGCAAATACCAGGATGCCTTGCTCTACTCAAAGGAGTCTGGAGAACTTTGTTTCAAGCCTTCTTTGAGATTACTTACTTGTCATTGCAGAGACCCTAAGGTACACTATTCATACAGTGCGTATTTTACATGTTTGGGTAGCACATAATAACCCAGCTAATAGTTTAAAATAATTTTCCTAGTTTGACCTTTAAATCAATCAAATAATGAAGGTAACATTAGATTCACTTCATGGGAGAGGAAATTAAGGCTTGGGGAGCTTGACTTGTAGATGAGTAGGAAGCACACTAGGTATTGGAATACTTCTTCTCATTCGTATATGGTCCAGTGTCCTTTCTACCTAGCATATTATCTCTGATAGTAAGGCTTCCTATGTTTTATGTTGAGGAAAAAAGGACTCAGTGAACATTTTCAAAGAAAAGATGAATGTTTCAAGTCCTTCTCATGATTGGCCCTGGGTAAAAGGATGAAGTAGAGATGTTGATTTGTGATTGCCTTAAGTCTTTGAATCTTCCACAGAACCTACTAGGGTCCCCATTAGGACAAGTATCTGCCACTTAGGATTTAGTGACAAGTCTCTTTCTTAATTTTTTTTACATGTTAACAACGACAACAAAAATTCCTGGCTAGTTAATGTTCTARTGGAGCAGAATGTGACACCTGGATGAATGGTGTTCTTGAAACTCCTCAAGTCAACCTGATTTTGCATAACTAAAATTAAGACTTATCATAGCACCATTATGGTGATTAGCTAATTTGATATATAACTCCATTGAGAAATTGCCCACAATAAAGTGGAAGATTTGGACATGCTTGTAATTGCTATTGTCTTGGCAGGGGTTGTGTTTCACTACAGGGCATCAACCAGCAGGTACACTCTGAATTTTGAAACTGCTCAGAAGGCTTGCTTGGACATTGGAGCAGTCATAGCAACCCCGGAGCAGCTCTTTGCTGCCTACGAAGATGGATTTGAGCAGTGTGATGCAGGCTGGCTGTCTGATCAGACTGTTAGGTGAGAAGTCTGGGGGCCAAGGGTTTTAACTCATTAATTGACAATGAGAAGAAAATGCCACTTACTAACCCTTTATTCTTTTCTAGGTACCCCATCCGGACTCCCCGAGAAGGCTGTTATGGAGATATGATGGGAAAGGAAGGAGTCAGGACCTATGGATTCCGTTCTCCTCAGGAAACTTATGATGTATATTGTTACGTGGATCATCTGGATGGTAAGATGTTCAAGTTTCTGTAGCTTCATTTTAACTAAGAAAATTGATAAAAGACCAGAAGCGTCTTGGAAGAGGGCAAGTCTTCAGACTTGTTTGTATTCCACACAGCAGCACTTGGTTTAAATGACTATATGATTTTGTGGTAAAATAGGATCAAATTAAAGTGAAGAAGGAAGGAGGAGTGTGTAAATGATTTTGCAGGTTCAAAATGTCTTTTGCTAATGGCAGGTTTTCTTACAGTCATGCTGCTCTTGGACTGCTTCCAATGCACTTTTAGAGCATTAAGAATAGAAACTGTAAGGGTGGTATCTATTTTAGTGAGGACTTCAGGTAAAACTCTGTGATGGCAAACCACTGGGCATCTGAGTACTGATAAACACTCAGAGCTCAACTCAACAACTCTGTAAACTAGCCCCAGAAGGGGTTTCAGTTTCCTGCCTGTTTACTGTGTTACACTGATGTTTAGAGCAATCATTTATTCATTCAACCAATCAACATTTTAAAATGTATATATTTAAAAATACCTATTTGCTAGKTACTCAGCTGTTAGAATTTTGGAGCGATTTAAGATAAAGCCCTTGCTTGAAGATGCTTTGAGTCTGATTGATTTTTGGCTCTTTTTACTTTTGCCTGAGTTAGAGGTTCTTAAAGACAAGTTTGATTGAATAGTGCTGACATTATCTAAGGGGTATCAGGCAGATTTTTTATAAAAACACATGGAATAGAAGTTTTTATTACTCTGTGAATGGACTTAAAAGCACAAGTAGTGCATTATGCTATAAATAATAGTGGGGTTCATTTTGACATTTTCATATATGCATATAACATAGTTTTCTCCATTTTAGTCTCTAGTACTTCTTCTATTATGCACTGATAAATAAAAAATTAAAACATTTAAAAGCTCATATSGAGGTATTAAATTGAATGATAATTTCAATTTTGGCTGCATATACATAAAAAGTATGACCCCAACTATTTAAATGTGTAAAAGGAGAAGATTGGATTATATAATTTCTTGGTCCATTCCAACAGTAAGATTCTGGGATTCTATTTATATGATTTTTATTWTGGATATCTTTCTTTCTTTCTTTCTTTTTTCTTTCAAGTTGGAGTTTTGTTATATACTCCTGGACTAAATCAATCCTCTTGTCCTTGCCTCCCTGAATAGCTAGGGCAGGTGCCTGCCTCCATGCTTGGCCTGTGATCTTATATTGTATTAATTGAGCAAATGACCATAGAGCCTGAAATCTAGAATGTAGGTAGCTTCTATCTTCCTAACACTTTGAATTGATTTGAAAGGAAGACTGCTTTCAGAAACGGTACTTTACTGTGGTTCTCCAGCATTTTAAGAATCTCACTGTCATTTAAGACTAGCAAATGTATGTTTAAAACSAAAACTTCAGATGCTAACAGCTTCCATATTTTTGTAGAGGAAAAGAAAAACATGTGTAACATCCACTCTATGGTAAATATATGTAAAACTAGAACTTTTCTCTTCCTTTTATTTAATAATTATAAAAATAGAATAGGAGACGGTTGGTTGGTGAATCTGGTTTTAGGGAATGAATTTGACTAATGYTCTTTCAGTAGGGTAGAAATTTATATCTCTGTTGTTTAAATTTAGAATAATATATCAGAGTGTCATAAAAATAYCTGGAATGCTGTTAATACTGAAACTTACCATTCCAGCATGATACACTAAAACACAGGTAGTTTTTGAAAAAGTATATGTAAGATCTTTACCAAATATTATTAAAATGGTGGGTATTCAGATACAAATTGAGGACCTGATTAAAATGTGGACAAGCATCCCAAGCCAGAYTGTTTGATGGAAAGACAGATTTTTGTTCCCATGATACCATCTGCRGGAGCACCCTATGGGCCCTTCTGTGTGTCTTTCCTTCAGTTTACCCCAATGGAGCTACTAAAATCCTCCTCTCTAAGATTTTAGACTCCCCAACTTCAAGAGAATTATTTCAAGCTCAGAGGAGGTATCTGCAGAAATCCCAGAAATTCCAGTCTCTCTGAAAGTACTGTTAGAAAGTCTTGGTGGTAAAAGTCCTGCCAGGGATCTCCCACCCACATTCCACTCACTGGAGCTTCACCCTTGCCTTCTTCTCASAGTGTCACAACCAGTGTTTAGGAATTAGGCTGTGTCAGAAGGGTGGCTCTGAGGATATGTGCAACATCTGTATTGAGCAAGGATTTAGTTGTCTTCACAGAGTCCTTCCTACCTCTGTAAGCATAGTTGCTTCCAAGGCAAATGTTCTGTGTGGAAGCAGTTTCTGCCTCAGTGAAACCCAGCTCCATAATTAAGAATAGTTAAGARTAGGGAGGACCTCAATTGAGTCCCAGCTCTGCCATTTACTACTTGTGAGATCCTGGGCTTATATCTCTAAGCTTCAGTTTCTTCTGTTAGAAGAAGACAATAGAAATACTTGCTTTTTAATTGTAGCAGGAAGGTTGAATAAGATAATGTGTTAAAAAGCTTTTATCACAGTGTGTGGCATAGAGTAAGTGCTTAATAAATAATAGCTGTTATTATAGCTATGGGTATATGAGAAGTTCTTTATTTCCACTGAATTCTTAAGAAGAAGAAAGGAGTTAAAATCGCAACTCTGTGAATTATGTTCAATATAGGAAATTTTTTGACAATGAATATTATTGAATGTCAAAAGAATCCTGATAAACTGTGAAATTTCTTTTCCAAAGATTTCTTAAAAATAAAATTGATATTAAGTATTATAAGTGCAAATATGCTACTAAAGTCTGTTGGAGTCATGATACTTGAAAGATGTAGGGAATAACTGGGAATGAGACACTTTATGAAGAAGGGTCATTTTTAATATGAAAAATAGCTTGCTTGAATATTAGTTGAATAATTAAAAAGGACTGGTTTAATTAATGCTTGAACATTAATTGAATAGTTAAAAATAACACTGTAGTAAAATAAAAACTTTCTAAATTATTCYATCCAAATTGTATGAAATAACTTTATTCTCTAATTAGAATATCATATTCCTAACTTGTATTGTTTGGAAATAACCTGGTGTCTGATTCCCTGAAGAAGGTCAGGGACACAGGAATACACCTGTGTTGCCATTGGAGGGCTTAAATAATTCTGAAAGTATTCTTTCTGTGACTTCATATGGCATTTATTCAGAGGTGTATGTGTGTGTGTCCATCCCTAAATAAGATAAATAAGAGGGGATTGTGAGGAATACAGTATAAATATTTTACCYAAAAAATATACATTTGAACTTTGAAAAACTTCACTTCCTTTTAAACAAAATTAATAGGTTGACTATTTGATTTCTTTATGATAGCAAGTACTCATAACAACAGAGTTCCTTTTTCTTGGGCCTTTTATTGTCCCTATAGATAAATCAGAGGGTGGCAGATGTGGTCAGATTGCCTTCTGTCATGGTTGGGCCACTGAGTTCCTTTGCAAATAAGTCCATATATGCAGTCTTGTGCCCTGACCTGACAAATGATTGATCCAAGACCTCATTCTCCCATAACCCAGGAGACCCACATGCTGTCTTTGCATGGCCTGTATCTTCTATGTTGCCCTACCCTTTGGCTTTTACTTCATTAGATTAACCACCCTACTATTCTAATTCCTGGTTTTTATGCATGCTTTGCAGCTCCTTGACAGACCTACACTGTGGACTCTGTTTGTCTTGAAATCTGCTAGCTAAAGCCTGATCAACTGTCACCTATTTAYCCTCATTTTCCTCCTCTCCAGAATGACCCTGCACACCTGCACCTGACCCTCCAGACCCCCTGCTTGCTGCTCCTGCAGGTCTCCTTTGTCCTCATCTTCTCAACATTCTGATCTTATCTGTACTTGAAAACTTACTTCTTCTGGGACCCCCTTTTTGGTTATTCTAGCTCACACTGAGATTTATTTGATATGAACTCTTACTTTAGTTAGAGTTGGTTCCATGTATTTTGTTGGTTTCTGGTTTCTCAGTGTTCATCAAATATAAAATGTTGCTAGTTTTATTTCTGTGAAACTACTATAAGCTCTTAGTAAAGACAAGGCCATAAACTTCTGTATCTTTCTGAGACACTCTCAATGGCTTATTTTGAAACTAGGACACAAAATAGTTACCAAGAAATACTTGGAGGTAATTGCAGTTTTCTTCCAACCTTCTTCTTTTTTTGGAAACTGCTTGATGCCACCACCTGTCCATTTTAATAGCATTTAAAAGAATGCTTTGCTTTGTTCACCAGATTCACTAAGGATTAGCGTTAGGGTTAGGGTTTTGCATGTGTGCTTTCATTTGTTCCAGCATCATTTCTTTAAAAATCTACTCTTTCTCCATTTAATGCTCCTAGCATCCTGTTAAAAAGCAATTGACCRTAGATATATAGCTTTGTTTCTGTACTCTCAGCTCTGTTCCATTGATCTATACGTCTACTCTTATGCCATTGTCTTTTTTCCTATTGTTTTATAGTAAAATTTGAAACTGGAAATCATGAGAGCTTTACTCTTCTTTTCAAAACCATTTTAGCTATTCTGGGTCCATTGAACTCTCACATGAATTTTAGAAGCTTGTCACTTTCTATAGAAAAGCTATCAAGGATTCTGACAGAAACAACAATGAAGTGCTAGACCAACTTGGAGTAAATTACCATCTTAACACTATGAAGTTTTCTGACCCCTGAACATGGAATATATCTTTCTGGGTTTAAAGACATTTTAAAATTTCATTCAACAATGTCTTGTAGTTTTCAGAGTATGAGTTTTACTGTTCTTTTGTTTAGTTTTAAGTATTTTATTCTTTTGGATGCAAATATAAATGGAATTTTCTTAGTTTCTTTTTCTGATTATTTATTGTCATAAGTATGTAGAAATGCAACTGATTTTTATATATTGGTCTTGTGTCTTACAATGTTGCTGTACTTGTCTATTCATATGAACTGCTTTTTAGTCTTCTTCATTTTATTATTGTTTTAATCAGCTATTTTTTTTTTTTTGGCTGTTGTTACTA